GCTGAACCCGCTTCTGGTACCGAAGGTTATGTAACTACTACACTTCCAACTTCTGGTCCTAGTGGTTCAAGTACCATGACGGAGGTTCCATCAAGTGATTCACAGACAGAGTTGTCAACCTTGGAAACTTCTACATCTGTGATGACACCAGCCCAGCAAACATCTGTTATAGTATCGACTTTCGAAGGAGGCGGTGGAAGTCTTTACGACAAGACCTATGCTTTATCATTTGTCACACTTTTGGCCCTTCTCTTCGTGTAACGCTCAATTTCAGTGGTATGTTTTTCAATGCCGTTGTTGTTGTTGTTGTTGTTGTTGTTTATGTCGTTGTTGTTTTTTTCTCAACAACGTTATCTTTATGTGTTACTTTTCCTTCTGTTAATCTCCAGCCGTTTTCTACTTGAACAATGCTGAGCAACCAAACAACCTGGTTATAGGGATCATCGACTTCGGTGATTCCAGGGTCTACGATTCGGGAAATTGGATTGATTTGTGGATAAGATATGACGGACATGAATTCTTTATAGTTCTATGGACTCCACTCTTCTTTGAGTCTATAAATTTAGTCTATATCCTTTTTTTAAATAACGATTGAATTATATGAATATTTTCAAGCTTTTCTCCATCCTCTGTGTACCTTTGTTTCACCTTTGAGGAGCTTTTGCACCAGTTAGTACATTAAGATATATCAATTAGATCATTTCTCCAACTGCAGGCAGAATATTAATAATCCATCATCTAAAGCACTTGAAACAGGTCGCGCAACCTACATGGTCTTACCTTCACCAGTAATAGCTTCTCCTTTTTTCCACTTCAGTTCAATGTTGATCTCTTACCACAATTCACTTTCCGTTGCACCTTTGCACCAAGACAGGCATTCCTTGTTACGAAACTGTCAGGCAGATGAATTTACCTTTGAGAACAATAACTAGTAGCATATTTTAAACACCTCTCCTTCATAGATTGAGCCTTGGACTTGGAAAATTAACTAACGTTTAAAGGTAATTAGTATCGACACACTCGACATACTTTCACAAAGGAAACTTCCTAACTCTCTAGAATATGCGAAGTGCGTAAATGAATTCACTATTACTTGTGCACTGTAGGTGTACGTAGATCCTAACTTCCGGAACTTAGTTGCCAAATAGGTTCAACTTCAGCAACCATAAACTTTAAAGTACAAAGTGGGCCCAATAGTATAATTATTAACATATTATTTCAATGTGTACGGTTATCAGATGCAATTCGAATGCCAGATGTTCGTCAAAAGAGACAAAGAAGAGGAAGAAATAATATCTATGCTCTTTCCTGGGTTTTCTCTGTTTTTGGACTCCTCATTTTTCAAGTTTAGACCCAGGTTGTTTGAGTGAAGGAGAATATTCTAATGAATCTCTGTCGGTGAGTGCTATGACAACACGGCTAGGTATTGAGAGTTAAAGCGCATACACATTCAATTTATAGCAAACCAGAAGTTGTACTTTATCTAGGCTGCTCTGAGAAAGAACCCCGCGATTGAATCACAGATGTCCGCAGAGTATATGCATATACCGAGCCGACAATTAACCTAATCCTTCTGTTTCCATCCCCGTCCCCCTCCCCAATTAATTGACAACGAATTTTCAATATCCAATTCAATCATCCGTTTGAGTATTCAATTCTGCCTATAATAACGTGTCCCACGTGAGATATTCTCACCGATGAGTGCTTATGTTAACACCATTACTAAGTTTTCCACACATTTATACCAACCCTGTCAAAGGATTAATTGTATACCTGGATTATTATTGATTCAAATCGGGCACATTAACAAGGTCAGCTGATGTTTGAAATTAAAACTGTGTTCTATCAGCATATGCGGACTGAAAGGATTACCAGGGTCTACTAAATGGGGCTGTTTTTCTCTCTTCGACATGTAACATCAGATTAGGATGAATCGCTCAAGGGCCAATTCATGAGAAACAATTATATTATAGAAAATCGTTATTCATTGACTTGAGTTAATATACATGAAAATGTTAGTTAAGATAATGTCATGAATATATTTCAATGGAGTTAAAACTTATTGTATATGATTTTTGTATATTTGATTTGAATAATAGTTAACTTCATTTTTCAGTAAAAAACTACAGCCAATACGCAGTAAACACAACTATAAGAATTTTGATTAGCTGTTGATCATTCTCCCCAAAACATAATTTATACAACTTTATACGCTTTCATTATCGCAATGAAACTGTCTATGTGAATAATTTCCCGATCATTGCTGATATCGAGAAAGACACAAGTTATTAGTCTTACACCTTTCATAATGCGTTCATTCCTCTTACTGCCCCCCCCTGCAACGAAAATTGACACCTGGACACCAATGCTTATGTATCAGGGGTGGGCACTAATCTTCCACTAAAGCCACATGATCTACTAGTTTCATCAGCAGTAAGATATATGTAATTGGTATATAAATAAAGCCTGAATGCTGTTATATACAGTATGAAACGTTCTCAGAAGAGCGTCTAAATATGTGTGGTATGTCTCCTATTTGGACCCAGTCAGCCCCGAACAACTGGTGTAGCCTTCGGTGTGCCACACGCAAGGTGAACACATGGCATGGCCTGCGGGCTATCGCTAATTTGTTGGGTAATTTTGTTTAGTAGTGAGTTCTTGTGAGCTTTTAACCCTTTTTATGACCCACACTGTGTGACTGTTATCTTTAGTAATCTATGAATATCACCCAAATGTAGAATTCCAGCTTTAAGAGTGATCCAATTACAGCACTGAAGACTTGCCTCTATATATCAAAATTCCAAGAGTGTTCATTGAATACATATTCGGTCAACCGAGGCCTCTCTCTCTGATAATATTCTCACAGATTCAGGTATTTCTTCCATTCAGTCTACCCATATACCATGACTCCAAGCTTACCAGTTATCAAATTGTTGCGAGACAATAGCCTTACAATTACATGCTCGTATTCTAAAAACGTACAACGACAATACTGTATGTACAGACACATGCTCAGAGTGAAATGTGAACGGAGAATAGTTGGACCTATGGTCAATTAACGCTAAGCAAACTAGATGCCCAATATGACGAAATAAACCTGCTCATGTACACCAGCAAGAGCGGTACCGTATTGAACTGTAACTAGATTCCAATACAGCTAACTACCATTATGACAGGTACTTACACATGACTCAGTACCACTGGGAACACCAATCAACGTTTGGAATGTTTGTCAGAAACTCTATATAGCAACACAATCGTAAGTGTGTTTATAATTAGAGAGACCATACATTTAGAACGTGCCACATGTATCCTAAAACTTAGTCCACATGAACTTACATGACAAAGTATAATAGATGTGGAGAGGATAAAGATACAGATTTTACCAAGGAGGTTCGTAATTTATGTGGTCCAATGTTCCTTGTACATTATGAATTTCAACAAAATCAATGAGAAATCTTCAAATCTTTTGTGCTTTAGTTGATATCTTTAGTCAAACGTACTGTCTAGCGTCTATCGGCAGGCTGTAATACAGATAATCCTTGTAGCACTTTTAAGCTGAATAGATAACAAGTAACCAATATTCAATTCTATTTAAAGATGATGTTTGAACCCTATTATCCACTTTAAACCTTGAATCTCATGCAATTGCAACTAAAACAACACAACAAAAAAGTCCACCTGTTATACGTCAATTGCCATTTTAACAAGCCATTTCCGTGTATCCTACCTATCTGTCTTGTTAGAGTTGATAAATTGTAACAATACTGGGGGGTTTTCCAAAGGAGGGTTCCGGGGTAACAGATACAGTTAACTACAAAGGAGTGCTTCATGCATCAACCCAACATGTGAATAAATCATAAAGAGATGTAATTCTACAGAACTGCAGGGTTAAACATTTATAATAGTCAAAGCTGCGTCAAGTCTAGCCCTTTGTATTAACCTTTGACCTGTCGTCGAGCTTCACGTTTTTCATAACGTTTCTTATCATATCAAAGTCCAGTGAACTCAAGTCACGGGTCCTCTTTGCACCAACGATGCTTGCTAAAGAAGAGCTTGTGTTTGTTTCGGAATAACAAGAATAGTGGAATATACGTCCATTCTTCTTGACAGCATCATCCCAAATCCATTCTCCTAAATCGTCATCGTACCTGGCCTTTAAAACTTCTTTACAAACACCACAGAGACAGCTCATTTCAGAATCACTTGGAACGACAACGTAATGACGCTCTTTCGAACCGGCATTGTTCTTTTCCGTTGTAGTTTTATCCTCTTGTTCACCAGAACCAAACATGTCCTCATCACGGAATTGTACAAATTGTTCATCATCCAAGTACCAATTACGGCTTTGAACAATAGCACCTTCTTTCAACTTTTTGTTTATACGGAAATGCCAATCTAAATGATCACGGCTCTTTGCCTGTTCCTGCTGTGAATCTCCAAACCTTTTACCACAAGTACCACATTTATGAGTCTTTCTCGACACAAATAGTGCTGTATAAGTCGATGTAGGATCTAAAGACACAAATTTTGCATTAATGTCGAACTTTTCAAGTTCCTCCTCTAATGGTGACTTATGTACAGTGTTTAGACGATTCGATGAGGCGATTTTGGTCTTTTGTAATATTGAGTTTAACAACGACGTTGAAGGTACTTCATGTGGAGAAGGTGTCTTCTTCTTCACAAGTCCTTGCTTTTCTAGAGACGAAAGCAAAGAGGTTAAGTTATTTTTCTTCACCACCGGTTGTTGGGTCTGTGTTGGTGTAGGAGTTCTAATAGCACTTCCCTTCAAGTTGATCATACTATTCAGTAACGTTAGATTCTTTGTCTTATCTTCAACATTGTTATAACCTGTATCCTGCGTCTGCAGAGACGTTGCAGTGGGATTTTGTATAGAATTGAAGATGTTTTGCAAATTTGGCTGTGGGTTACTCAAAGGTGGTGATTTGATGGGTGGTGTACTTCTAAGGGAGTTCTCCTCCGCTGTCGTCATTTCGTCCAGCTGTCTCTTAACACCTACCAGTGCATCTTGAGTCATTGATCTGTCGTTTTGCAACGCAAATTTGAGCTGTTTAATAATTCCAATCTTCGCAGGGATGGACTGATCATTGGGGGAACGCAGCAGTCTCTGATTGGTTAGATACAGTAACTTGTCAATAGTCTGTAAGAGCATAGCTACGTTAACTTTAGCAGAGCTCTGTTGATGAATCGCCGTGGCTCTCACCAAGAATTGCTCAATCTTGGCCATTGGTTCATCTGGGAATAACGGCAATCCACTTGATGTCTTTGCGTTCTTCCAGGTCTTGAACAAGTCAATGAATTTCTTTCTAGTTTGGTCATCAACTAGTAGATATGCCTGTGTGTAAGTCTGATATATCTTCTGAGCAAATAAAAGTGTATATGGACTACCAACGTTTTTGCAGATCGAGTCGAGTAGGTATAAAGCGTATAATTTCTGATGCGGAACGGCCTTTGAACAGAACAAGGTGTTAGTATGATGGTCATTTTACTGTCAGAAGCGAACCCCTGGACCTATATCCAATCACAATACTTGCAAGTGACGGTAAGAGGGGCATAAAGGATGGGATTTACTCACTTTCTCAATTCTTTTCTCTACAGCTCTTGTTAAATATTCAGCAGCATCGATATTCTCCTGCGCAAGTAACGTGAACGACGTTATCATGGGTCTCGAGTTATTCGTCAGATCAGAGATTGCCACGTAGAAGTCATCACCGAGTGCCTCCAAAGCCTTTTCATCAACTGACATCTTTGGAGAATAAGCCTTTCGTACTGAAGCTTCACAGATGAGCCCTTTAACCAGTCTGATACCAACAGCAAAACCGATACAACAACAAGGTGGCACACACACACACACAAAGAACACTACTAGAGGACTTCAGGGCCAAAGATGTGATAACCCAGCTTCGTTTCTTAACAACGAGTTTATGTTTTGTAAGTGTTCTCCCAGTGGAGGAAAAGTTGTTCGAAGGGGGCGGGCGCCCGCCCGAAAGAGAAGAAAAATCGAGAGAAAACACAGAAAGGCCAACACAGAAAGGCCAACACACCCAGACACCACTTGGAGGGGGAAGAGGGGTGTCTGGGTGCTTATGTAAGCACTAGAACCCCAGCCTTAAAGCCGAGTTCACTAGGCTGGTGGAGCTTCTGTGCGAAGACGAGCATAGACCGTTGACCGTTGAGCGCAAATGGATGATAAGGCGGACATCAAGAGTGGCTGATTTGGGCGATAGAGGGCCAATTCAGGTTTGCAACCATGGGAGGAAGGACCAAATCTACAATTGGTACAATTTGGAATACAGGCACTTCATTTAACCATATATATATGTGTGAGTGAGTGTTTCTTCCTGGTGCTGAGATGAAAGGTCTAACCGAAACACCGTTTATTGGCCCAAACACTTCAAGATGTCAGCCCAAACCTTTGGTGGCTTTTGGGAGGCATCGATACCAGACCAGATACCAGCCTTCTTATAGTAGTCGACAATTGGCTCGGTTTGCTTGTGGTAGTTGACCAATCTCTTGGTCAAGGCATCAGCGTTATCGTCAGATCTTTGAACCAATGGCTCACCGGTAATGTCATCAGTCATGGCAACCTTTGGTGGGTTGAACAACTTGTGGTAGGATCTGCCGGAGGCTGGGTGGACCAAACGGCCGGTGATTCTGGCAACGAGCAATTCGTCATCAATCTTCAATTCGACAGCCTTCTCCAATGGCTTGCCAGACTCGGCAAGCATTTGGTCAAGTTTCTCGGCCTGAGGAATGGTTCTAGGGAAACCATCCAAGATGAAGCCGCTCTTACAGTCTGGGTTGTTGTGCAACTCCGACTTGATCATGTTAACCATAATGTCATCGGAAACCAAACCACCTTGATCCATGATTTTCTTGGCCTCAAGACCCAAAGCAGTCTTCTTAGCAACCTGGGATCTTAACATATCACCAGTGGCCAAGTGACAAGCACAGAACTTCTCCTGCAAGTTTGGAGCTTGGGTACCCTTACCAGCACCTGGAGGACCAATCAAAACCATACGGATGGACTTTGGCACAACTGGCACCAATCCAGCCTTTTGCTCCAAGTGCTGGATTCTGTCTTGCAATTTATGGACCAAGTCCTTCAACTCTTCAACGGAGGACATCTTTGATTTTATTCTGATGAATTGTTAGCGTCAGATGATGGGGAAAGAAAGAGGAAGAAGAGAAAGAGAAAAGAAATCTCGGTAGCTGCTTTTTTTCCTAACCTCGCCCAACAAAGTTTTTCCGCTTTCTCCCTCCCATTTCGCGGTGCTGTCATTCGTCGAAAGTTCCTCAAAGAGGGTCTGTAGATTAGAATAGATGGCTTTTATTTCGAAATATTTGTATGGAAAGCATGTGTGTTTATTGGAAATATCGAATCCTACTACTATCAATTACTATATGACTCGGTAATTGGATCTTATTGTCTAAAATGGCTGAGTTATTACACCGAACAGTTCAGTAAACGTTTGCCAAAGTCTGGGGTGATGGAGGGAACGCGGGGGTCGAGCAGGTGATGGTGGTGGTGGACTCCGTACGAATGGAATTTATCACTTTCTACCCAACATCCCGGTTCTCTACTAGACGACATAGTACAGCCAGCCCACGGACTTGATTTATATATATATCCCACCTATGATATGGGTATGAAATATTATCATTTAATTAATATACACGAGGGACAAAGCAGAGGGAGTAAACCAAAGACTTATAACGAACAAACAAGAAAAACAGAAAGAAAACACATGCAAACAGTAACAGCTTCATAAACTTCATTCATACACCCCTTCATTAGTTGAATCTCTTTATACTATCATCATCGTCATCGCTATTGCTGTTATCTCCTTCGTAAAGTGTGGATTCTGCAAATGTGAATTCGTCTGGGTTTGTAACTCTTAGGGTCTTTTGGTTATCAACGCTGGCATCAGGAAGGGATCCATTGCTGAGTCTTTTACGACCATTCTCTTGCATGTAGTACGGGATAGGTGGTATGTGCGTATCAAAGTCCCCATCAACGTTGTAGTAGTCGTACATGTCGTTATGAACCGGCTTCTCTGTGTGTTCACTCTCGTCATCATCTTCGGATGAATAACGACGACGTAAGCAGAACAGCAACAACAAACCCAGTAATAGTAGCCCACCCACAACGGAGCCTACGGCAATTCCCGCAATGGCCCCTTTACTCAACCCACTGGAACCAGATGAGGTAGTCGATGAAGATGCAGCGGAAGATGAGGAGCCAGCAGAGCTTGCGGTTGGAGTAGCGTACCCAGTAGATTCTATAGTCTGTGTTACTGTCGTTGCTGCCCCATGAGATGCCGTTATGATGCTCGTAATTACCGACACTTGTGTTGTTACCAATGCAGATGCAGTTGTGGAAGTGCTTGAGGTGACGCTACTCGAAGTTGAGCTGGATCTCGAGCTTGAAGTTGAAGAGGTGGTTTGCGTGGCGGCACTGGCACTGGAGGTGGAAGTTGACGAAGTGGAAGTTGATGAAGTGGAGGTTGACAGCGTCGAAGTCGTTGAACTTGCGCTTGTTGAAGTTGACAGCGTCGTTGGGGTATTGCTGGTTGATATTGTTGAACTGGACGAACTCGAAGATTCACCAATAGGTGACGTATCCTGATCACCGTTGGCGTACACGGATAGGTACCCATCACCACCGCATAGCTCTTGAGGGTAACCGTTACATGTTGAGGAACACAATGACGACGATACAGGGCTTATATTGGAGGGCAGCTGGTTGGAGCAATAACACGTAGAGCCGTCCATCGTGGCAGCCACCGCATACCCAGCACATTGTTCTTGACAGTACGAGTTGGTCTGGTAAGTATACTCTCCACGCGACGTTAAAACACTCTCAAGCGAGGACAGCGAATAACACCCGCTGGAAGAGTACTCTGCAGACGCCAGAGATGACAAAACTGACACCAGGACAAGAGGCACAACACTCACCATGGTTGTAGTCTAAGAATGTTCTATAGTGAAGTGCCAAAAAGGTTGAGAAAAAACAACAAAGGACGAATGGTCAATAAATCGTGCTGTGTGGGACTTGAAAGGTACAATGCGTCCAGTTGTTTATGTTCTTGTTTTCGCTCAGCTTCCGTTCACCTTTTCTTCAACTTTCTCTTTCGATACGTTCTATCCCGCTCCTGACGTGTGTGTGTGTACTGACTGTGTATATCCCCTTCTTCTCTATTCAGCGGACGAGGAGGGCTTTGAGCTTCGGAAGGGAAAGTAGGAGGGAAAGTTTTCGTTTTGGAGGTTGTGAAAACTTGTTGAAACAAAGCGTGAGCTGTGAAATGCGGAACAGGGACGTAAATCGAGGCCAAAAAAGCTTAACATATGAAACTGCAAAAAGTTTCGTTGTTGTTGTTGTTGTTTTTGTTTTTTTTTGTCGTTGTTGCTGCGGCTTTGGCAGCTTTTCGCTTTCTTTCTTTTTTCTTCTTCGGCAGCTGGCCTTGTGCAGCTGGCGGCTTCGAATTCGAAGTATTTTTTGCGCAAGAATTTCGGCCGATCCTACCGTAACTTTCGCCAATTCGCCAATCGGGGAACTCGTTCGCGTTTTCGCCAACCTGTTGCGATGGTTACAACGCTACGGGGAGCACTCGCGTCACACAACCTCTCTGTTTGCCTCCTCTTTTCCACCAGGACAGAGAGGAAGTTACCACGGAAACAGAGCAAGTGAAGGATTCAAGAGTGAAACAGCCAATGATTTTCGTGCAACGTCAAGAATAGACATCGTTCTAATTAGGGAGCAACCATAGACATACTGTGAAGGTGTTTCAAAGCAGCCTGTTCCAACTCAGTTCCGTTACCGGGGGGGGACAACTTTTTTTCCGTGACTGAGAGTTGATAGAATTCCTCGTCCGGATCTGAAACCATCCCATTCTTGTTTTTAGTGTGCGTGTCGTGTGGATTGGGATAGCGTTGTGGGAGTTGGTGATGCCAGCCAGGCGTTAAACAAAGGCACAAGGCAAAACTCTAACCTCAGACTCCTTGTCTTGCGCTTTTTCCTTGTGTGAACAGCGAATTCGCGGAAAAAAACAAGCGCAAGACAGGGAAAATTTCACGCTCTCTGTCCTGTTTCCCAGAGGCGGGCGCGTTTGTACGCGGCGGATTGTACGACGTGCACGCGGTGCGTGCAGAGACAAGCGTTTGCCTCTGGTTCTCGGCTCAAGTTTCGTTCTGCTTTAGGCAGTGGGAAAGCCTCTTTCGGCCAATTTTCCCAATCTCGATTTTCCCGATCTCAACGATTCTAGAACAATAGGGCGTGTACACTACATCGCTTACGTATAGGCTTTGCGAATTGGGGGACGGTGTTTCTGCTCATCCATTGAGATGTCCACGTCCGCATTGGGCTCACAGGTTCTACAGGGCAGGGGAAAGCGTCGGTTTGAAGGTTGAAACCCTGTTTGATATTATTAGAAGAAACGAGAGCCTGTCGATACGCGGGTCTTTGCATCTTGAAGGGATTGTGCCAGTATCGGGTCGTCAATGTTCATGTGGCCTAGCCTATCGAGTGTGGCACCGTCGCGTTTCTTTGATGCCTCGTCGATGATGCGCCTCCATTCCTTGAGCCTAAACAAGAACTCCACCTTGTCATCGTAACCCACGTTCAAGGTGGTGAGGAGTTTAAGTGCAAGCCTCTTTTCATCATTCGCAATACACTTGTCAATAACCTTGCTAGGAGGCAATCCATGCTTCCCCTGTTGTAACCAGTTGAACAGTTCATCCCATCTCTTTGTAGAGCAGTAGTGCTCCAGTTTCAAATACGATAACTTCTTGTCGTTGAATTTGAACATCTTCACCACTTCATTGACCTTGGAATGTTGCGATAGCATCAGTAGTGTTAGAATGGTCTGGGAGAGAGACTTCCCCTTGAACTCAATGTTAAATTCACCCGTCAACTCATCCTGGATCTTGTTTAAAGCCATTTGCCTGTCCAAGATCTTATTCACAGAGGTATCCCTAGTATGGTATATATCCATAGCTTCTTGTAAACTAGAGTTGTTATAGCTATTCGACTCCATTTCAAAGTTGCTCAGATCAACAACACGGTCAGCTTGGTTATAAAAATCGTGCAATGTTGAGTTGTCATTCCTATGGAAGTATTCAAATACGTTAGCAGCAGTTTTGGAATTGTTCAAAAGTTTGAAGAACTGTGGATACGATAACGAGCTCTTTAGAGTGAACAAAGTTTCCATGATAAGATCAATGTCTTGTGAATCAACAGCTTTTTGTAAAGCCAGTTCATTCTCCTCCATCTGTAAAAGCAATGGTATCTGTTTGGTGAATAAAGTCTCAAAGTTGATCAGGATCTTTGTCAAATTGAGCCGGCCCTCTTGGAACGCCACTGTTGCAATTGGTGCAAACGAAATGTATCTGTTTCTCTTCAAAGATTGGAATTTAGAGATAATCTCTTGAGATAGCTTCTCGTCATTTGTGTTGCTGTACTTGATCTTAGAGCATGCCCAGCTGATGAAGACTGGATCCAAAGGCAATTTGCACAACAGCGATATTTGATAGCTCTGTGCAAATTTTTGTCTCTTCACCAACAGGTCTATGAGTTTTGTGATCCCAATGGTTTTAAATTCTTTGTAAGTCAAGAAGAGACCGATATCAGCATCTCTAACAACGTTGATTATTCTCAATTCGTCACAAATATTGACAATCTCTCTCAAAGTTGACGAAGGCGAAGATTGCCTCATCTCCAATTCCGCTTTACCAAAACTTGCAGCCTTGAGCAACTTCTTTTGCCAATATGGATCAAATTCTTCCGTAGAGGCATCAATGCACTCCTTCACAGCATCGAACAAACCGTCACCGATGATTTCCAAGTTTTCGCTAGTCTTTGGAGAATATCTTGCCAACTTTTCCAAGGCATCAATCAATATGGCACTCTTAGCTCTACTTCCAATTTTAAAACAATCCACCGTGGCCGATGGTACTTTTGACAGATATGTTAACCTGTTCGTTGTTAGGATCGTCAACCCGTCCAATTCTGTTGAGATGAGGGAAACGTCATCGACGTAAAATTCCAACTCACCCCCAGGTGCAACCAATTTCACCGAGTCCTGGTATCTCAATGCCACGGCATCATCACCACTCCATTCCATTTGGAGCATTGGAGTCGCAGACCATTGCATTATAGGCTTGGTAAACGATGCTGTTGTTATCGTCAATCCGCTGTTGTTCCACATGGCAACAAGTTTACCATTAGCGCTAGCACAGATCTTATCGAAAGGGCCTTCCGATGACAGCAGCGTCAAGTCGTTGTCGATCTTATAGACTCCAAGATCGAACGATGCAATTATGCTATCCTGGATTACACACCAGTCTCTCAGCGCTCCCAAATGCGAGCAATTCATCAATTTTTGAACTTTACCCAATCGATTCATCTTTACAAGATCACCACTTGATAACAAGACCGCAATGCCACGTCTTGTCACGGCGTAGTTGTCGATACCGTTAACATGTGCATCCCAGCCTATCTCAAACTCGTCAAAGTCTCCCTCGAAAGTATAGTACCACCTTATTCTTCCATTGGCTAAGAGAACACACAGTTGCTCTTGGAACCAGGTCAGGCCAACGACACGGCCACTTATATGAGGATTCCACGGTATGCTTGCAATGAGATGAGATGAACTCGTATATATCTCAATGCGTTGGTCATCAATGGAGTGGAACATTGCAATTGTTCTTGTCATCTTCGATATGGCACACAGCATTGGAAGCACGTCCAGATCCCAATCAAGGGAGTATAGTTCTCTGTTACGGTAATACACATCACGTATTCTTTCCCAACCAACAGAAGGAGCAGACATTTGCACACAGTGAGTAATTGATCAATTCTGATTGAGCCCAAGTTGTAGTGTGAAACAAACGTTTGAGACCTCCGTTATCGTACACCCAAAACATCCACACACCAACACACCCAGACACCCAAAAACCCAGACACCCAAACATCCACACATCAATATCCTGGCATTAAGGGTCAATATGGTCTCCCACCAAAAACGCGCAAAACTTTTATCGTAGATCCTGATGGAATACACCAACCACAAGTCAAAGTCAGAGAAGAATAAGGAGAAGAAGCAGCAGGAAGTCTAAGAATGACACAGGCCATGTACATTACGCTGGTATCGAGTGACAATTTCGAGTTTATCATAACTTCAGAAGCGGCAAATGTCAGTGGGACACTGCGAAGCATGTTGCAATCCACCTTTAAAGAGACATCGGAACGCCGCATAAGGCTTCACGAGTTTGATGGGCGTGTATTAGGTAAAGTTGTGGAGTATCTTTACTATAACTTGAAGTATAAAGATAGTGTTGATGTACCTGAGTTTGATATTCCCGAGGAGATGGCGTTGGAGTTGTTGGATGCCAGTGATTTCTTAGACGTTTAGATAGGTCGACGATAGGTCGACGACATGTACGCGCACGGGGCTGTAATTTATAACGATTAACTTGATGAATTATATTATATGGAACTGAACTTGTCTGCATTGTGTGGGCAACGCTGTAGCCGGGCAATACGGGCATTTGAAACTCGAACCGTTCTTGCTCAGTTTCCACATGGCTTGCATAGAGATAAGATGATGACAAGGTAACGCCATCGCTGGGTTCTCAGTGGTGGTTTCACATTTCGCCACAGGGCATATGTATATAGCATGGAATTTGAGAAACTCAGGTAGATGGACCTCGAAGGGTAGTTCATCCTTAGAAGTCCAATCCAAGTTTGTAAGTTGTCTTATCTTTTGGAACTTGTCAAAATAAGGAAGTGCAATATAGGCAGCTAATATCACAGTGCAGAGAGTGGACTCAAACGAAAATCCAATTGTGGAGCAGAACTGCTTAGAGAACAGGTTTGCCAACTCTGATAGATCGGTAGAATTCGTTAGTTGTAAATATGGCGAGGTAGGGTCATTAGGTGGGAAGAGCAAGCATGTCATAAGCTTGGATGCATCTGACAGATTCACATCGTCACTATTCGACAATAGCCTTGGAAACCACTTCTGAGCATACCTGTATGCATCTAGCGGATTCCCATCTTTGTAAAAAGTCAAGAATTGTAACTTATGAACCATGAACTCCAACTCTGTTCCAGGTGCATTGTCGGCAACCCACTCAGCCACTGAGCTCAAATCTCCCCGTTGTAGCCTCGTCATTATTCTATTCTTCTCTTGGAACTTGGACATCAGATCACTACGACCAACGTCAATACCCAGATCACCCTCTCTGAGGAGGTGCAGTCTTATGGCGTTATCGATCCATTTTGTCGTCTGCGGAGTCTTTGGAATCTTATACAGGTACACGTCATCAACCAGCGGCTCAATCTTATCTAGCGCGTTCCGCTGGAGCTTATTCACGTTGCTATTCGCAGACTTCAAGTTCTTTCTCAGCTTCGACTCCCACTCCTCCTTGTACTTCTTGGTGTTGAAAAGAATAACGTCCTGCTCTAAATCATCATCGTCCAAGAGCTGTTCCAGTTGTTCAATTAGATCAGCAGTTGCGCTCAGATGCGCATCCAGGTGTTCACCCGAGTCGAATCTATCAGCTTCCGCAAGCAGAGTATCCAACAACGACATCGTCTGGCCTGCCGCTCCCGTTGTTGATGTTGTCTTGTCTTATCCGAAGGGGATAAACAAAGGGGCCATCGCAGAGTGACACATACAATTTTACACAGCACAGAGCTACTGTGGCCCGCATCACTTTATCGGTGTCAATGTATATAGTAGAAGGCATGATGATATGACCGACTGGACTACACAGTGAAGCGAGGAACACGTGTGTTATTATTGAATGAGCAGTTGTACTATGCGGTGGATCACTTCCTCTGTCTTCCTCCTAGACAGCGATCAATGTGTGCTGCGAATCGATTACCGGCGATTCTTCTCTGACAGTTGCGACACTCAAAGTACCTTGAGCTGTCGGGTATCTTTTCGTTACCAAAGACGTCTCTTCCCTGTATGCTGACGAAAGCCTGTCTCACTGTCATTTCATTGGCTGGCGTTCCATTTCTGGAGGAGGTTGCGCTAGGCGTACCGTTACTGCCTGTTTCCAACTTGACAGAGCTCGGTACCGGCGTAGCTGTGTTCTGAATTGGCTGCAACGACGGTGGCTGTTCCAGCGGGCCGAACTTTGTTCTGTCCACTTGTTCTTGCAGTAAAGACTCCACGATGATCTTGTGCGTGATGGAACACATCAGCGAGTTGTAGACGTACAGGGACACCTCTGAGAGCGAAAGATCTGACATCTCTTTCCTGATATATAAAAGCACACAACGAATAGGCGAAACGATTGCGACGACTGAAACCTGTCAGGCGTTACAGTGAGGGCTTCGAGAATCAGCAGAGGTCACCCACTAAATAAACAAGCCACCAACGGGATCAAAGAGAAGGGTCAACGTCAACATCACAACGAAACCGAGAAGGGTAAACATCGGAAAAGCCCGTAGAAAGTGACACAGCGATTACATAAGCATACAGCACCCACTTATGTAAGCTAAAAGTAAAAAAATCGAAAATACCAGATTAGGTAATTACCATAATAGGAAACACAATAAAGTCTCTGCCGCCAAAGCTACAGAGGAAAAAAAAAGTAGGCTCGAAATTTTGAAGCACTTTGCACTGTTTCTTCCAGATTGTGAAGCTGTTTACGAAACGACGCCATCGGGAACGTTTCACTGAAGGAGTGCTCTTACGAGACGGACTTGTGCTTGCGAAATGAGTTTTAGAGGCAATCGTGGTAACCGTGGAGGGTTTGGAATGCCAAACTCTTCCAATATCACTGGTCCTGGTGCTCAGCTGAATCAGCTGGCCAACGAACAACAGTTGAGAAATGCAGTCCAGGTTGAAGTTCGTGGATGGCAAGGTGGCTCCAAAGATGACGTTGTAGCGTTCATTTCGAGAAAGACGCGTATCACGCTGATGAGCTCGAGCATTGAGAATGATGCTGTTGTTGGGTACGTCAAGACACAGAACGATGCCAATCAGTTGAAGTCGTGGAACGGGGTGAGATTTGCAGGGAATGCCCTGGAGTTCAAGGTCAGATCTACGGCGACGTCGAGTACCATAGAGATGTTGAAAGCGTTTCTGCACAGACGCTATAACCAGCAGTTGAAGATGCTTGATCTGAGTAACATTGCTAGTGACACACAACTACAATCTCAAGGTGCCTTCTCCTCAATGACGACACAATCGAAGATGTTCCCGGCGTTGATGAAGCTGGCATCCCAGGAGAAATTCATCGTGGAGAGTGTCAACTTGAGCGATAACAACCTTCAGGACCTCTCAGGGATATCCTCTCTGGCACAGACTTTCCCACATCTTGTGAATTTGGCTCTGTCAAATAATGCCATCTCAAGGCTGAAAGCTCTGGAGATATGGAAACACAAGTTCAAGGCCCTTAGGGAACTGGTTATGGCCAATAATCCAATAACTTCAAACCCACTGTACAAAGATGAAGTTTCAAAAGTTTTCCCCCGCTTGGTTATACTTGATGGTGTTGTCATTCGTGATGAGGCCAAACTAAAGGCCATATACGAATTGCCTTTACCACATAAGCAGTTCTTCTTTGAAGACGCAGAGATTCAGCAACTTTCCACGCAGTTCATCTCAAACTTCTTACAATGCTGGGATAACGACCGTTCCCAATTGATGCCATTGTATACACCTGATTCCCAGTTCTCACTTTCAGCTGATTCTTCGGTACCTAACGATGCACAGGCAAGCGACGTTTCATTTGGATTGTACTTACCATTATCGAGAAACATTTCAAGAGTTTCAAATACCAGGTCTCGTGAACAGAGATTGGGGAAAGGTCAAGAACAAATCTACAAGTTGTTCCAACAGCTACCAAAGACTAAACATAAGCTGGATACAGATCCTCAGTTGTACAGTGTCGAGGCATGGAGATACCCTCAAGTTAACGGTTTCTTGGTGTCTCTTCACGGTGAAGACCAGGAAGTTGCGCAGCCAGAAGTACACCCAGATCAGAACAACGGTAGTAACCGCAACAGAAATTACAGACGCAACGTCGGGGGTTCCAGTTCAAACAATAAGCTAACCCCAAAGTCATTTGATAGGGTGTTTACCATCGTTCCCGGTCCAGGTTCGCTCATTATTGCATCAGATATGCTTATAGTTCGTCCATTGGCAAATGCAAAGGCATGGTCTGAACAGGAGATGCAACCTCAACAACAACCATCACAACCACAATCCAACACAACTTCAACACAAGGAACACCACAGCCAGGCGTCCAATTACCACCTAATTTAACACCACAACAAGGACAAATGGTTGAAAGGCTGATGATGGAAACCAAGTTAAACCTACAGTTCACACTGTTACTATCGGAACAAGCTGGTTGGAACTACGAAAATGCATTGAGAGGGTTCACGGAATCTCACCAGAACGGTCAAGTACCACCAGAGGCATTCCAGTGACTGGTTTGTTGTGTCGTCTTCTTCTAAGAGGCGTCCATTATAGAAAAGGAGAAAAAAGGTCTTCAAGACTTCAAATGTTATTATTCTGAGTTCCATATAGCTTATTCCTTACTTTGTAGTCCTTTGCGTTGGGCCTCTTGCCTTCTTAGTTGGGATAACATTTGCACTTGAGAGATTCCCTTGACTGAGTCTCATATAGTTTATCACACCGTTGTCTACGAGGGCAAACAGTACACAGTTAGAGCCATCTTTGAGCCTCTTCTTCTCTTTAGCACCACCTTGAGCTTCACTTAACGATTCTTGTGATCTCCCTTGGTACTCCACTCGCTTAAAGAGATCATCCAATTGATTCTTTGTCGGGAATCTTGTTGATGAAACATCAACAATCACAATCTGGAAGTCCGGTAGAGGCGGCGACTTCTTCGTGAAGCGTGGATCCGGTTTCCAGACGTCAAATGTTATATCCAAAGGGTATGTTGGTGCTGCTTGTCGTTGAGGTTTAAACTGTAGTCTTATTGATTCAAAAATCGATGAGTACGTTAAAAATTTTGACTTGAGCCATGAAGAAGTAAAAGCTGGGAAGATAAACCAATTGAGTATATCCAATCTTCGAAGCACAGCTCTAAACATCGTGGGAAGATACCATGGCTTTCTCACAGTCGCACACTCCCTCGGAGTATATCTCTGAACAATGTAGCCACACCTTTTCAGATTGGAATACACCTGATACCTCACCAGATCAGTTGCACACATTGCATAAACGCTTTGTAGATCCATTGTGACCTCTTGTCCATTTTTAACCCATATTGGTTCCACCGTACCTCTTTCCACGAGGTAGATGATCTCTTCCTCTGTCAAATAGCACCAATCATTCCTAACAACACCCATAGTTTGCATAAAGTTGCCCTTCAGCTCACTTCTCCATTGTCCATCTTGGTAATATGCTTTCACGTTCTGCTTCACGGTATGTGCCCTAGGAACCGATAAGGCATTATACATATGATCCAAAGAGTCTTGTAGCGTACTGTTCTGGATCTGGGTATCATCCTTCTCAAAGTCCTTTTGGCCTCTTTTCAGGTTCGCAGAGTTTAAGTATTCCCATGGCTGGACCTCATCTTCCAACTCGGTCTCTATGAGTAGCTCTTGAGACATCCCCTGCGCTGTTATTGCCGTGGTTCAAGTCATATTTGATCGTGGTTACAGCCATTGCTTCATGAACTTTTTCACTATAATATAATGTATGATATTATATTATATTTGTCATAATTTTCATAATTAATGGTTATGAGCGTTTGCACTATTTGCTGCCGTGGCCACTTTGCGAAAAAGCGCTGGAAAAGTTTCAACAAGCTCGGTGTGTTGACAAAAGCTGGAGCCGTAAGAAGCAAAGGAATCTCATAGGATCGCATAGCTCATCATGGATTCCCGCTACTCTTATGATGAGAACTCAGAGACATGGCCAGTGTTTGTGCTTGCGCTCACGTCTGTTGCCGTTGTGCCATTGACGATTGCCAAAGTCTACAGCGCTTTGAGTACCAACGTGGAGCTTCAACATCAGGATGCCATTGAGCAGAGGAACATACCTCCACAGGTCCTGAAGCACAGATCTGATCAGAAGAGAAGATCCTCACTCACAAAGAAGAACATCTTTTTAGTCTTTGGGTGGATTGTGATTGCTGCGATGGTTTATTTGGTGTCCACTACCGAACAAACACCGACGCAGAACCTATTCGACCCATACGAGTTGCTTGGTGTTGAGTTCGGTACACCGGAGAAGGTGATCAAGTCCACATATAGAAAGCTTTCGGTCAAGTACCACCCAGATAAGATTAAAGGTGCTTCTGAAGAAGAGATGAAGGAACTGGAGGAGAGGTTTGTTCTCATCACAAAGGCATACAAGGCGTTGACCGACGAGGAGACCAAGGAAAATTACGAGAAGTACGGCCATCCAGATGGTGCGCAGCCAGTATCTCACGGTATTGCTCTACCAAAGTTCCTTGTTGAAGGTAAATCGTCACCTCTGTTGCTCGCACTATACATTGCGCTCATTGGAGGTGCATTGCCATACGTTGTTGGTACCTGGTGGTCCCAGGTGAAGAAGGTTACAAAGAGAGGCATCTATAGTGATACTGCAGAGGAGTTCATCACAAGATTGATGAACCAAAACCCTGCCAAACACGTGGGTATGTCCACTATTTTGACTTGGTTGTCCAACGCTGCAGAGTACAAGGATTTGCTACCTGGTAAGACACCAGAGCAAATCTATTCGCTTTACGAAGAGTACTTGAACAGAAAGCCAAGTGATGACGCTCTCACTGCTGTCTCCATCGTGCCAACTTTGATTAATGGTCTGTTTGACATTACTGCGAACTTTAGAAGCACGGAAATTACACTGACCGTTGTTGACACTTTGAAGCATTTCACTCAGGCTTTACCAGAGGGACCAAAGAATGAGCTGCTTCAATTGCCATGTGTCGATACTGATGCGGTTAACAAGAGTAAGATTGTGAAGTTGGGTAGATTAACGACATTGCCACGTGATGAGATCAAGCAAACCTTGGGAATCAAGGATGATGCCGAATTGGAAGAGGCACTTCGTGTTGGCACAAGAATTCCAAAGTTAGACTTGATCAGTGCCAAGTTCGAAGTCCCAGGTGAGACTGTCGTCACACCTTCTTCAACTTCAGTTATCAACGTCAAAGTTGCCGTGAAATCTGCCAGACATCATAAAAAGGCTTCAGTCTCACAGGAGAAGCTGGAAGAGGATCAAAGTTTGGAGGCTATGAGGGATCCATTCAAGATTGTGCATGCACAACCTCCACTCCCATTGGCACATGCCCCATTCTTCCCATCCGAGAGACATTCCGGGTACGTTGGTTTTATCGTGTTGCAAAGAGATGGTAAAATCTGTGATCAACCTGTCTTGTTTAGAAATCTGGACCTCTCTAACCTTGACTTGTCAGAGACGGAGTTCAAAGACGGTAAGAAAGTTACAGTGGGTACATTCAAACTTCCAGTCTCACAACCAACACCAGCACAGCCTGGTAAATACCAATTCCGTGTTATCATCAAGTCCTTGGATTACTTCACACAGGATATCGACACCTCCGTGACGATGCACGTTCAAGAACCACCAAAGATTGAAGAAGTGAATTATGACATTCCTGATCCTGAAGAGAATTCACTGGCTGGAACCATGGCTGAGCTTAGAGGTGAGAAGGTCAAGAGCGGTGATAGTGATGATGAAGACGAGGAGGAGAGTGACTTGGAAGAGGAAGAAGACTTTACAGATATCAACACAGACACAGAAGAAGAAGATGATGATGAAGATTAAGAGGAGAACAAGTGAATAGACACCCAAACAAGCTACCTTTCATACAAAACCTGCTATAATCGACTACAGTTTCTAGGAATCTTATAGGCTTATGTAATCAAACCAGTACGCGTTACAAAAAAAAACGCGTTCAGGGAATTTCGCGAATTTCTTCACCACACAAAGGCAGAAAAAAACACGGTGCAACTGAAAGGTTTGTACAAGAAACTCAGGTATTGTTCAAGTTCATTGGTGATTCATAGGAAAGATGTCATTGCCTTTACCTCGCCGTCAGATATCATCAACACGTGCACCTTCGCAGCTGAAGAAGGAGTTGCTTGAAGAGCAGAAACAGGAGATCCGCGAAGCCTTCAACTTGTTTGATATGAACAACGATGGATATCTCGATTACCACGAATTGAAGGTTGCCATTAGAGCCTTGGGGTTTGAAATGAGCAAACAAGAAGTATTAGAACTGATTAGAGAGTATGACCGAGACGACAGAGGTCAAATGCACTACGAAGACTTCTTCGCAATCAGTGAGTAACCCGTTGTTCTTTGGTGGCACGGTGCCCCAGCGCGTGTTTGCTTATGTCCGGATGTGGTGTCCGGATGTAAACAGCCTCATAAGCAAGAAAAGTGTTACTAACAGGACTTGAACGAATTAGTGGGCGAGAAAGTTCTTAATAGGGACCCATTAGATGAAATCCGTCGTGCCTTTAGACTATTTGATGATGATAACACTGGTAAGATAAGTCTACGCAATCTACGGAGAGTAGCAAAGGAGTTGGGCGAGAATCTAACTGATGAAGAGTTGAGAGCAATGATTGATGAATTTGACTTGGACAATGATGGGGAAATCAATGAGGAGGAATTCATTGCTATATGCACTGATAATTGAACGAGAAGATACGACAAGACCTGACCATCAGTGATAACCACCTAATAAATTCTGTTTTTCTTCTTTTTTAGACCGGTATACTACGACTTGTGCTAAGAGAATTGACTTTGATTCCTCTATTTTGAATTCCGATTATCTAATCAGCAGAAACTCATAAAGTTTTGTACGCCTTATGTACTTGGATAAACCATGCAGGGAACTCTGGAAGATTTAAGTTGATGGTTCACTCTTGCCTGCCAAGCGTATTGTGTGATGAAAGGTTGGATCAAGGAGGCATGTATGACAGAAAAGATCGCCTTACTAATCTTAATACGTCTTGAGTTTATGGCTTATTTGATTTTGACCAAGAAGTTTTTGTAAGAATTAGCAACCTTGCACTTCTTCTGTTTGTGAAGTTTGTAGCAAGCTAAACGATAACTTCACGTGGCATCTTTAGATATTGACAATATCTAACAAATCATTATTGAATCTCCACGATGCCTTCTCTTTAACCAATCTATGGAATGTGCAATAGATACATAATCAAGATTCTGTTTATATGGGGTAGCTATGCCCCGGAGGTAATTCAACGTGATGAATTTTCAAAAACATTTTACACGGAACTTTTATAACTATCTGTCTAGTATATTGGAATTTACATATTTGGAATTCACCACAAGCATAGTACTAGTCATACACGATCTCCATCTGTTCATTTGCTCGATTCGGATCCTTAATTAATCACGCCATATCCAAATTTTAAATCATGGCCAGAAATTCTAAAATTAGTGACCCATATTTGAAACAATACTGGGTTTGTTTTTAGTTTGCATTTCTCCCATTCAGCTATTGTCGAGTTCTAAGTGATGGAATACAACAGAAAATTATCTATAAAAGTTACAACAGCGGTCTTATAATTAGTTAACTACTAAAACATATCCAAAGATTAGTAGTTCTGAACGAAGCAACAGTTGAGGTTAGGAGAAGGCCATGCACGCCCTTAAAATTTTCTAAATGATCAGTGTATGTTGGTACACTTTATCTAATAAGGGCCCCGTAGAGTTCAGTTGTTATAAAACAGTAATTACATTTTAGGTTGAGACAGTCAGTATGTGGTTCCAATTCTCAAGAGATTGATCTGTTAGCCGTGTAAAATGACATTGCATAGAGTTTTTACATGGACATATGCAGAAGCAAAGGTTGGTAATCATTAACATTTTTTTCTTCTTTTGACTTGCTCATTAACTGCTAGAGGTTTACGATGTTGTGGAACGTAAGAGCCATCTTTATAGTTTGCACAACGTACTACTGAGTGGTTTGTTAATCAGGTATACAATACTTCTCAAGATAGTTCATAAAAAAACTGGCCTGTAGAAACAAACTCTGGGCATGTGCATTCCACATCTTTCGGTGTTCAGTCATTCGAATGAGAGCTATTTCAAGAAGAGTATGTGGGGATATACACAGAAATGATGTTCTTGTGGTCTTTATGAAAGATAAAACTTCAAATTATACTAAAAACATGCTCTGTTAACCACATTTAGAAACTGATACATGACCTTGGTTTCCTTTGCGGTCGCCATCATTGTTCTTATGACTAACCCCTTAGATTATTTTGATGAAGTGAATCAATCAAGTTAAGATACGTATGTATAGCCAGTATCTTATTTAGACTCATAGAATACTATTCATGAATTTTGCTCTATTGCCAAATGTAACTTTGATGTTCATCACAACCCCTTGTGCATCTGCGTGAACAGCAATTGGTTTCAGTTGTACACATACTTTCAACATTAATTGTTCCTCTTCGAATCCTCAAGTATCTATCATCGGTAAAATCAATAATACCCAGTTTTCTCATGAAATAGATTCTTCTACTTTCTTAGGGTAGGTGAAGACAGTTATATACATTCAACACCATGCTGTGGCCTGTTAAGTCATACATTGCTGTTTTCTACAAAATTTTACAGTTAATGGGTTCAGCACTAGCAAATAACATCTATGGTATCTTCCAGACAATCAACCCAATTACAGTTTTTATGACAATTCATCCGAACAATTCAAGTTTTACAATGTGGAAGTGCAATGAGAAAATAACCCCAATGGGATCAAAACTGGTGATATTTTTTTTACCTTAACATGCCATAGGCTTTCGAAGTTAGACAAACCTCTGAAGAAGAAAACTCATTGACCTACTTTGATACAACATTTGATGGTGAACACCCTTCTGCCTTAAGTACAATATATCAAAGTTCTGGGAGAGTCTTGAGCACAACTGAAAGTTGTCAGTTAAGTACAGAAATGGCCGAGTATGGCTCAATTTCAGGCACTCTTCAGTTCGCTGTAGTTTTTGATGCTGGCGCTCGTCACGTAACAATTAATGCTGGTAAATATCGGGAAACGGCAATAAACACCATCATTTTTAACAGTGACTTTGTCCAGACAGTTGAGTTTCTGTAAACACCCAATGTCAATCTTCAAAGACTTTCTGAACGAGTGAATATGATTGACGATGTACTAATTTACTTCACTCCAAAAACCCTTATGTGCTGATCGTCGTGAAACAAAAAGCGATTTTTTCAACGTTACACCGACAGGCTATCCAATAGTTCCTGGATCCTTTGAGTTTTATTATAGTAGATAGATAAAGGATCATATTTTCCTCCAAGATGCGATTGGAATACCTGACATAGCTTCGAGATCTGATTCACCTGAAAATATCTTGCTCTATACTTTCGAATTAATTCTACCAGATAAGCGCATTTGGTGGCTTTTAATTGCTGATATTACAACTGGAGAAAATTTTCTACCCTCTGGCACCTTTAACATTGAGAATATTAACGAAAAGTTCTGGGATTCAGACAGATTACCTGAAACAAACTTCGTTTTAATTGATGGAGATACCGGTGAATCTGGGTCTGGTGGAAGTGAGTGAAGAAGGCATGCGAAAATGAAACTCCTATATATACTAATAATACCATCGAGAAATCTCGAAAACACTGAGGATAACCGAGAATTACGCTGAGTGTACAGCTTGAACGAGAATCTTTACTGAGGATGGCACAGTTACGGCAGTTGTTCAAATCCCAGTTTCTTCTTTCTGCGAGACTTGAACAGGCTCAGAAGAGCCTACTGAGGAACCCGCCGAGGGTACTGTTGGAAGTCCACGGTGGAACCAAAGAATCTAAGGATAAATCTATTGAAAATTCCATTTAAGAGACTACTGATGAGATCGCCGAGGAATTCACAGATGTCAGAATAGGTTCATCAACTCCAGATAAGAGAAACCCCATGATAACCACAATTACAATTTCAACTGAGGGACACACCAGAATCTACAAAGGAACTATTTATGGAGATATCCCTTTTAATAAACATCGAAAAACTGTTACTGTGATTGAAACTATGACCGCCACTACTAGTGACTCAAAAGTCAAATATGTAAAAACCGAATATGATGTTGATCAAAATAACTAGAAGAGCAGAAATGATACAGTTACCAGCACCACTATCAAAAGGCCCCAAAGGACACCAGGAAAAAAGCATGGTGATCATTGAGAACAGAATGCTAGTACTTGCATACGGAAAAACCTGAGGTCATAGTTAATGAAGCTGAAGGCAATACACTTTATGACAAGAAAACAACTATTGATAGATCAGATCATAAAAGCCCAAGTGATGAGATGATGAGCGCTGAGAGCTATCTACTAGATAAGAACGCAAGACAACTTCTAATGTTACGGGTCATACAATTTAACAGAGTGAACTGGTGGATGACACCTCATATTCCAAATATTGGACAGAGTATTTGGAAACTTCATGGGAAGGCCTCATGTCAATTCGCCAAATCGGAACTGTACTTATTGTCTCCAAGTTTTACTCCAAGTTTTGAAGGGAGTATGTCAGCTCAATTGTCTTCGGTTGTTGCTATTGTGTTTTTCTCTTTGCTGATCTGAATTGACTTCGATTCAGCCAGACATTCTATTTTACTTCGTCTGTCTCGATATGTATGGATTTTAATGTTCTTTCAATAGTTCACCACACTTCAGTTTAAGATTCTTATATTAGCATGAACCATTCTTATTGCCGCTTAATAAAACGCATGTCTGGAAAGTTGTAGCAAGTTTCAGAATTTACCAATGGTTATGTGATATAAAACTGCGTATAATAGTCTCACATCGACTGTTAACTTGAAACTTGCAACACCGGCTGTTTGCTATTTAGAAAAGATGCATGAGGCGGACGATGATATGCAAAATGCGTCGTGGAACAATATAAGCGATGTGCATATAACTACGATTATATATCGTTTGGGGCTTGATTTAGTTATTCGTTGTTGCTCATTTGCTTAGCCCCAGGTATACAGTGCCGACAAGTGACAGTAGTGTTCATTCTTGGGTTCGCATAACTTCACCACAGTTTGACGTAGCTGTACACACGCTTAGTCTATTGGGCCAGACTTTTACTAGTTCCAGATTCAGTCTGATGAACAGTTGTGCCAATTTCCGTAATCTCGATAGACTTTGTAGGATATACAATACACGGATAGCAGTGTTGTTTGGTACAGTTTGATGTGAAGAATTTTTGTTCTTTGAATGAGCCATCTTCTAAGATGACTAAAAAACAGAACTGTGGTATCGAACGAATAAGTGAAGTTTTATACTGGAGATAAATGCTACATGTCAGGAAATTTCACATGAGAGTTCGCTTGGATATAGCATTGTCGTAAACACCAAGTCTCATACAACTAAACAGCACAGCAATACCTCTACTGGAGTATTCGCTATAGTAGGAATACAGAACCGACAGTGATATGCCACACTGCATTTGGATTTCACCATGTGCTGTATTATAGCATTATGCAAAATGTATCTAAATACGATATGAAATATGCAAGATCATAGGCATGGGGGCTTCGGATTTAAACAGCAATGATATTCCAATTTAACCATACCCACCGCAGCCATTGCGAAGCTGTATGGTATAACAATACCCCAAAAGTATATAGATGTAAAAGAAAAATTTGATTTACAATCGTAAGGCAACTAGAAAACATCCGTGCAAGTGAGATTTCCCAATACATTTAGCAACATCATAATTCTCATCCCTTAAACCATTCTGCCGGAATTTGTAAAGTGTCAAAAGAAGAAAAAAAAACTTCAAAGACGCAAACTAAGATCTCCGATTAGCCGCAGATGTATAGCCGACCTATTAATAACCGAGACTGGGAAACTCAACATTTGAGAGATTTCCTTCCTGCGGTTTTAACAGCAGACTACATGACGACAGGAATAGGAGAATACGAACACTTTATGACTAGTATTTCTTACCACAATGATTATAAATGTGCTCTAGCACTGATTCGAATTTGAAATTTAAGTGAAATGATATCTACTGGACAGCCAACTAGGTAGTGAATTGTAGACAATGGGCCATCCACCTGTGTAGGATAGAATTGGTCATCATGTGCAATGAGATCAATGCAATGGCCAAAGTTTTTAGTACGTACTACAGAACAGCAAATTAGCCAATGGTGAGCTCTCAAATTGTTTCATTCGAAGCGGAGTATTGGGTCCGAGCTTTTTATGATAGTTGATCCAATTCAATGTGGATTAAAGGCTTGTCAGAAACATCGTCATAAGTTCTGAGTGGAAACTAATACTGCAGACAAGTTACGTAAAAATCATGCTTCTATAATTGATAACTTGTAAGCAGTAATCAAAGATAGCTAAACAGTCCAAAACTTAAAAGTAGGTCTAGATCGACTGAACATACCGGTAGTTTTCTATAACTCCGTGAACCGAGCAGTATGTTCTTCCGTCATTTACAAGCATAAAGTACTAATGTTGATGCAGCCCTTCCCATGACCTATAATTCAAAGTAAAATTCTTTATCCCGTTATGCATGTCGGTTAATTGACATCTTATAGCTCTTATCTAAGAGAAGCGGATTTACCGTTTACTGGATTAGCGAGGAATATTCACGAATAACCCATATCATCGATTATGTTAACTATTTCCCGATTAGTAGGTGCTAAACGAAACCCGCTCTAAAATATAACCCCCAACTGTCAGATGTCGTGAAGTACAACTGCAGTTATTAAGGATATCCTCTAAGAATTTTTACAATAATAGTGGTGAACATTTGGAAGGAAGTGGCTGAAACAGGACCAGCCCAGAGTTGCAATTGATAATACATCACATAATACACTTTTAACACTAAATCAAAGTTGAACAGAGAAACATCCTCCTTAAATTTTCAGCAAGATACAGCAACGTGCAACAGAAAAGTGCATCCGCAGCACAACTACAAGCGTGATGTTTGTACAATGATGTACACTTGTATACATCATTGTACAGTATAGTGTTCTCATAAAATAGTCCGAAGTCAATTAGCAACCTTCTCTGACATCTTCTATCGCAAGAAAACGTCTCATTTGTACATTTGTACATGTAATAATCGCATACAGATCTTAAACTATTGATATGTAAATATATATGTGTGCTGGCTCTAGTCAGATCTTGTCACCCCCAATCAAAGGCAATCATTGGACAGTATAGCCTGGTTGTAGCCTGTTAAAGAGCCCACACTCATTTGAATTTTTGCCTTCTCTCAACCAATAATGTGCACCTCGTTTCAATCACGCAATTCTAATCTCTTTCCATAGCACACTAAAGTTTATACCCTTATGTATAAGAAAGAAGAAGCCATATCTTAGCATTTTACGCGCCTTGTGCGTGCATGTGTATATGCGCAATGTTTTCTAGAACGTCCTCGCGACAGCACTTGATTGCTATTCTTGTATCACAAGGTATGAGCTGCAAGAAACAAATTTGCAGCATATCAGAGACCCCACATGAATTCGAAGCAACCCAAAAATTCACTGCAATGTGCAGTGTACAAATAAACTCAACAATAGATTAAACGCTGTGCAATCTCACAGCAATGTGCCTCTCGTATTACGTTACTACTTGCAATGCGCGCATCCTGTTCTTCTACCTCGCAGGATTCTCGAAGTTTCAAAAAGCAAACAATTGACGCGATAAGATGTAGATGACTACGAATGAGCAATTGAGTTCGATGTAATAATTTAAAATCTTTGGATGTCATAGCTATGATTGAAACTTGAGATCACTGCACTTGCTCCAAACCTTGTTTATTTGCTGACGAAGAGTTTTTGTCGAGGCGGAGTAAAACATATTAGCCATTTTGCAGAAGATATCTTCAATCCATTGCAATTGTATGATACATATGTACATGGAGCTAAGTTGCTGCTCTATAATGGATGTAACAGTACATCGAATTTATGATCTGGACATGGTGTCGAACTATATAAAGAGACGAAGAAGCTACAAACTTGAGGATATTTCTTTTGGTGCAAACAGTTTGTAATACAATCAAAGCAAAGTTAAAGGCAACACTCAGACTTTATTTTAAGAGAAATGTGGTTTCACAAGCTTCTCACAATATACACATGCTCATTGTTGTTCATGTTTGTGTCCTCTAAGGAGGTTTCAGGAGTGTTTACATCCATAGACTCTATTGTGCCGGCATCATCATCAGGATATGGTCCATTTGATTTTAATACCGTAAAGGTATCTTGGACTATTGATACATCCAAAATTGACACAGGGGATACATTTTCATTGAATATGCCATACATTTTCGAAGTTAGAATTACAAATGCGGATAATTCACTAACCAACTTCTTTGACATCAAAAACGATGATGGAACTACATTGGCTTCCTGTAATGTTGACCAAGCTGGTGGAAGATCTCTTGAAACATCCATCAATTGTCAAGTCACAGCAGATCTTACTGATTTCACAACCTTTAGTGGTAGTCTTCAGTTCGTCATGATCGGTGATGGTGGTGGTTTACCTCTAACCATCCCAGCCGCAGAGCATTGGACAGCTGGTGTAAACCAGTTAGTATTCAATGGAGACTTAACACATGACATCACGTTTAAACAGCCAGGTATGAGAACACTCGGAAGAGTTACAATGAGAGGTGATGTTTTTCATTATTACATGCCAAAGGAAGAACTCTGTCCACTCAGCGGTATCAAGAATGGTACTCTGGGGGTCATTGTGAAAAGCCAATCATTACCAATTAATACAGCCGACAGCAATATGTATTACACCAACACATTTAGTCCATATGATTTCCCTCTGGAAGCCAACACCATTCCAGACACCACTAGTCAGTACACTTCATCTGCTAACAGACTTGATTACAGTTTTGGAGCAGTTCCAGTGGGTGGACAGATCTATTGGTCTGGTTTCGTTGACAATGTCGCTCAAGAATATTCCAGCTATGAGGTTATGTTTTCACTCAACTATGACTGTTATGACAACTCGGAGGAAAAGATCGCAGGAAATTATGCTACGAATTTTGTTGTGGTCCCAGGAAACTTGGAGACTGATGGGTCAGGAAACCGTATGTATACTATGAGTTTATTGAGACCAAAAGCTGATAGGTTACTAACATATTCTTCAAGTCAAACCGGTAACTACTACTATTATAGAGACGACCGCATTTGAAACATGTACTACCAAAACTAGATTCCAAACCGGGTCAGACACCGCAACTGTAACTGAGATAATCCAGGTACCGGAGTCATCAGTCTGCATGTCATCTA